AGAGAGAGAGAGAGAGAGAGAGAGAGAGAGAGAGAGAGAGAGAGAGAAAAGGACCCTATCTCCAAAGGTAGGTAAGTAGGTAGATAGATAGACAGACAGACCGACCGACCGACCGACCGACCGACCAACCAGGGCTAGAAAGATGGCTCAGGCAAAGTGTTTGATATACAGATCCTCAGACCTCATGTGAGTGCTGAGTAAGATACGGATTGCCTGTAATTCCAACCTGTTAAGGTTCAGACGAGATCTCACAGCATGCTGATTACTAAGGGTAAACTCTGTTGCATGCTCTGGGTTTGAGAGATCCTGCCACAGAAAATAAGGTGGAACAGCTTTTGAGGAAGATTCTCAAAATCAACTTGGGTTTCCCACGAGCTTACGCAGCATGAATACACATGCACATGATAAGAGTGAGAGGGATGATAGATATTTTAAATAACTGCCATTTTTGTTTTGTTCATAAAGTTCTTTCCATCCTAATGTTTTTCTTCTTCTTTACTGCCCTTTCTCTCATCACAGGAGTTGCAGAGAAGACACAGCTGCTGAAACTGAGTGTACCTGCTACCTTTATGCTTGTGTCCTTAGATGAAGGTCCTGGTCCTCCAATTAAATACCAGTATGCTGAATTAGGCAAATTATACTCAGTAGTGTCACAGCTGATCCGTTGTTGCAATGTCTCCTCAAGAATGCAGTCTTCAATTAATGGTAATGTATTCTTAATCAATAGTTTTGAATACTCTTGAGTCATGTCTCAAATTAGATTGAATAACTTAAATACAAAGTAAGGGTGTGAAGGGAGGTTCATATTGTAAGATTTTTTTCAATATTTACAGTGCTTTGTCATTTTCTTTTTTTAATTAATTTTTATTTTATGTGCATTCCGGTGGAGGTGTCCATTCCCTTGGAACTGGCGTTACAGACACTTGGGAGCTGTCGTGGGTGCTGGGAATTGAATCCAAGTCCTTTGGAGGAGCAGACAGCTCTTAACCACGGAGCCATCTCTCCAGCTCTGTCCTTTGTCATTTTTACATGATTAATATGGATCTTTTCTGCTGATTACTGGGTTAAACTCATAAAATTTTTCATGTTAGTATACCTAGTCATTGTAACACATAATACTACTTTTCTTCATTATGCTTATACAATTTGACCTCTACAGCTCACTTTTCTAAAACACATTCACAGGCTATGTTCTGAGAAGTCTACATCGTTATTGTGGAAAAGTTTATTGGTTGTTAATTGGTGACAAATCTGCATTTTAGGTAATCCTTCTCTTCCAAATCCTTTTGGCGATCCAAATTTATCACAACCTATAATGCCAATTCAGCAAAATGTTGTAGACATTTTATTTGTGAGAACAAGTTATGTGAAGAAAATTATTGAAGACTGCAGCAACTCTGACGAGACTGTCAAATTGCTTCGCTTTTGCTGTTGGGAGAATCCTCAGTTCTCATCTACTGTCCTCAGTGAACTACTTTGGCAGGTTAAGAAAACATAAGCATTATTAAATCTCTGTGATATGATTTGTTGCCTATTTATAAAATTTTCACTGTGTCTTACCTTTTCTAGGTTGCTTATTCCTATACTTATGAACTCCGGCCCTATTTGGATCTGCTTTTACAAATCTTACTGATTGAAGACTCCTGGCAGACTCACAGGTAGGTATTTTTTTTTTATTATCAAGCCTTTTTGGGCTACATAATGAGACACTCTTAAAATTAAAGACAAAAATGATTAACCACAGTATCTGTAAATTTGTTTAACTTTTTGTTTTAAGTTTGTATTCTTGAGGTCTTGAATTTGCTTCCACTAATGTAATTCAACTCCTGATGAGCAACTGGAGCAAGTAGAGCTAATAAGAGTCAGACCTGAGTCAGACTGATTGGTGACTATGTGGCTCTAGGCAAGCTTTTCTCTAACCTGCCCAAAAGTTTAATAATACTTCCTGTCTATTAGGAAACAACTGAACCCACAGACAGACATTTACTGAATGGCATGTAATAAACAGTAAGTGTTAGTTTTGGTTAGATTTTAGAAGTTTTTATCTTGTGATTGTTTTTCAGAATTCATAATGCCCTTAAAGGAATTCCAGATGACCGAGATGGGCTGTTTGACACAATCCAGCGTTCTAAGAATCACTATCAAAAAAGAGCATACCAGTGTATAAAATGTATGGTAGCTCTCTTTAGCAGTTGTCCTGTTGCCTACCAAATCCTGCAGGTAAGGGTGTTTTCTTATTTCATACAAATTTGAATCAACGTTAAAAGATGTTGCTTTAAAGGGATAAGGCTGTAGCTCTGTGGTTTACTGCTTACCCTGATTGTACAAAGCCTTGGAGTTAAATCCCCAGAATCACAAACAATAAGAAAGGAAGGAAAAATGCCATTCAGATCCTGTTTTAATCCAGGTATGGAGTATATACATCTATACTCCTAGCATTCAAGGAGGATAGCCACAGATTTGACAACAACCTGAGTTATATAACTAGTTATATTACTAGGCAGCTAGGGTTAACTAGCAAGATTATTTAAAGAAAAAGGAAAAAAACATAATCCTGAGTTTGTGGAGTTACCTATGAAATCTTCTAAATCTTCTTTTTCAAAATTAATTTATTGACTTTACATCCCAAATCTAAAATGTACATTATTTTATTTACTCTTGAAGGGCAATGGAGATCTTAAAAGGAAATGGACCTGGGCAGTGGAGTGGCTTGGAGATGAACTCGAAAGAAGACCGTACACTGGCAATCCTCAGTACACTTACAACAATTGGTCTCCACCAGTGCAAAGCAATGAAACATCAAATGGCTATTTCTTGGAGAGATCACATAGCGCTAGGATGACACTTGCAAAAGCTTGTGAACTCTGTCCTGAGGAGGTAAAAAAAGCCACCAGTCTACAAGAGATAGAAATGGAAGATTGCAAAGTAATTCTTTTTAGGCCACTGTGTTAATAATAGTTTGGGTGTTTTTTTTTTTTTTTTTTTTTTTAAAGACTTTCGTAGAGTTGTGTGTGCTTTAATATGTACTACTGTGTTACATTAATGATGCCTCCTTCTGGAGAAATTACTGCGCTACAACTTCAAATGTATTTTCAGAAGAACCCAAGTTAGGCATTTTTAGGTTTTTTTTTTTTTTTTTAACCTTTATGTGTATGGGTGTTTGGTCTGCATATAAAACTGTGCACCATGTGACTGCCTGGTGCCTGTGGAGGCTAGAAGAAAGGATATTAGATCCTGTAGAACTGGCGTTTTTCTGAGTTGCTGTTTGGGTGTTGGGACTTGGGTCCTCTAGAAAAACAACATGTGATCCATCTGAACCATCTCTCTAGACCCATCTCTCCTGTTTTTAACATTCACTTGCATATGAACCATAACACATGTAAAAGTCAAGTTTTTTTTTCCAAATTAAAACTTTATTTTCCCCCTTTCAGCTACTCCCACACACCCCCTTGCTATGTCTCAAATTCATGGCTTTTTCCTTAAATATTGTTACATGTATCTATATCCCTAAATCTACAAATACCTTGCTCAGAGTGTATAAAGTAATTTATATGTTTATGATTTTAAGGCTAGCCATTTGTTATTGGATAACCAATTGGGGAACTCTTCCCCTGGGATACAGTATTTTTCCTTTCAGCATTCCTTGTTTGCCTGTAGTTCTTTGTCTAGGGTTGATATCACATGAGATTTCCTCCTTCCATGTTAGCATATTTATTGGTGCCCTTGTTTAGGTAGCCATGTTGTTGAGTCTACATGGCTACAGCTTCCTTCTCAGCCAACTTCCTGTCCCTTGGCTTTTACAATCTTTCTGCCCCCTCAATGGTTGGGGAGGTTGCCTGAGCCTATGCAAGAGTTATAAACACAGTTTTTAAAGCTTGATAATGCCTGCATAATTCCTTTTCTTTAAAATTAGGAACCAGATGACCAAGATGCCCCAGATGAGCATGAGTCACCTCCACCGGAAGATGCCCCATTATACCCCCATTCCCCTGGATCTCAATATCAGCAGGTAAACAAGAATCAAATGGTGGGGTTCACTTCTACAGTGGTTCTCAACTTTAATGCTACAGCCCTTTAATAATAGTCCCTCTTGTTGTAGTGACCCCAAACCATGGTTTTTGTTGTTGCTGCTTCATAACTGTAATTTTGCTACTGTTTTGAGTCATAATATGAGCTAAAGCAGGATAATCTGATATGCTATATTCAACGACCCCTCGCAAAGGTTTTGAGAATCACTCTCTAGAACCAATTTCATGCTTAATTATAAAGGATGGCTTTTTACCATGACTCTGAACTCATGGAGAGATGATCTGGACTAACTTGGAGGACATGATAGAGTAGTTGGTATGAGGTCACAGTACAAAATTTGAACTTGCCCCAGCGATGTGGTTCCCTTACCAAATAAGTATGTCCTATACTAGTATAGAGTGAGTAAAACTGATGATGATTGTTGTCAGCATAAAATGATAACCATTGCTTAGTGTGAAGAATTATGATATTTCTTCTTAAGCTAAGTCTGCAAGTAGATTCTAAAAAAAATTAAGGTATTGCAGTGAGGTATTATTGCTTAATTAGACTGGGATTTCATTGACAAAATTATTGAGAACTTGACATTTCTACAGGTAATTAACTCAAATTAATTAGCTAGAAAATAATTACCCACAGAAGTAAAGAAACAGTATCCTAAATGGGAATGCTCCTAAAATGTAGTTGCGACCTAGTCAAATGTTTTGAGGTGGCAGTAGCACACAAATGGACATAAGCTTTCTAGCATAGTGCATAGTCCTAAAACTCCAGGGTATATGGCTCTCCTTTAAATTTAGCATTTCAGACCAGCCATGGCTGATAGTGGTTAGGGGCAGTGGTGGCACATGCCTTTAGTCCCAGCACTTGAGAGGCAGAGGCAGGTAGATCTCTTGAGTTTCAGAAAAGCCAGGGTTACACAGGGGAAAAGCCGGGGCGGGGTTGAGATAAGCTGTAATCCTCAAAAGTTTCCAGCTGTTTACAGTCTGAAAAGCATGCCAGCCTTAGGTTTTGGGTTGTAAGTGAAACTACAGAAAAAAAGTGTATCTTCCACGTAGCTATTTTCATGATTTAGAATAATTGAACATGAAGCTTGTAAGCTTGGCCTGGCTTACAGGAATATAAAGAAAACCTAATCATATCAGTTTCAGGCATTTAAAAAGATGAAAGAACAGTTTTCGTGACATATCTGTAATTCCACTGCTGGGAGAGTAGTTGACATATAGTGAGTCTCTCTCCCTCTCCCTCTCCCTCTCTCTCTCTCTCTCTCTCCTTCCCTCTCTCCCCTCTCCTCCCTCTCCCTCCATCCCTCTATTCCTCCCTTCTCTCTCTCTCTCTCCCTCTTTTCTTTCTCTCCCTCTCTGTCATTTTTCAAGACAGGGTTTCTCTGGATGTCCTGGAATTTGCCCTGTAAACCAGGCTGCTCTCAAACTCAAACACACCTGCCTCTGCCTCCTGTATGCTGGGATTAAAGCATGCACCACCATGCCTGCTTTCACAACTAGTCTCCATCTTAAAAAAAAAAATAGGGAACTAGGACAAAAGTTACTTTGGTTAGCCCTAAGAAAGCTCTAGCCTAGTTAATTTTTTCAGCCTTGTTGTGACTTCAGTGACATTATTAATTGACAGTAGTTTTGTCTACACAACAATTGCACCTATACATTTTGGGTCATATCAGCTTTATGCTGTGTAAAAGAGTATAAATTTGGGGCCTGGGCTGCCAAAATGGGTCAGTGGATAAAGGTACTTGCCACACAAGCCCCACCTGAGAACCATTATGGTAGAAGGGGGGAAACCATGCCTTTAAGCCTTCACATACAGATTTCTTTTTCTTTTCAGAATAACCATGTGCATGGACAGCCATATACAGGTCCAGCAGCACATCACATGAACAACCCTCAGAGAACTGGCCAGCGACCACAAGAAAATTATGAAGGCGGTGAAGAAGTGTCCCCACCTCAGACCAAGGATCAGTGAAATGCACACCTAACTGGTTCCATCAAGACTGTGCACCCAGGCCTTACAGTCCAACTTTTTTCTGTGTCTGGCTAATAATTTAAAACTAGAAAACTATTCCTAATCAACATGGAATGGAGAGTTTGTTCACTGTCTTACCTGCAGAAATTTGCTGTCAATATATAACCCGCCTGCAGTGGAACGTGTATAGTGTTTTGTAATACATGGCCTGATGCTAATGTGTAAATGGCAAAGGTGTATATAGTATATTAATGTTTGACTGTTAATTCTTAAGCAAGAACCTTTTTTTTTCTTGATGAGACTCACAGATCTACAAAAACTACATTAATTTTCTTGTTATACCCACTGCACTCTGCAGCCAGTGTTGCCTACCTTGTGGCATTTGGATCACCTCCTTTACAAAAACAAAAAGTAAACCAACAACAACAAAACAGCCCATTCGTGTCACACCAATAGTTTCGTGTTCATTCTTTGCCACTGGAGTCAATTTTACTATGAGCAATGTAAGGCTGGTTACCTTTTAATTATTTGGTTGATGTGGAAAATTGGTGATGTAACATGTTTCTAGATCTTTTTCATTGCCTTTTTATTCTGATGTTAGGTTAATCACTTTGAAGCTATAGATATGCTGTAACATTTAGCATGGCTTCACACAAGTTAGTGTAGCCAACGAGGAAATATTACCATAATGACTGCAGTTGTCCTGACATGGCAGCTGCACTGCTCGGAGCTTTCCTTCTTAAACCCTAGACTATATAAAATACAGACTGAGGGAGGACTGTGGGAAGCAGGCGGTTCTCAGTTGCACATGTGTTAATTCTTGTATTTGACAGTGCAGATCTCTGGGTGGAATAAAGAATACTTAAATTTATTGACTTAGTAAGGGGAAATTTGAAAGGTTTTAAAACAAATATGCACAAATTTGCTATGCTAGTTTGCTGGCTGGAGCCTAGTAGAAGACTGTATTTGGTGTGCTTGTTTTGTTCTTTGGTAGAGCTTACTATAAGTGATTCTTTTCAAACTGTCCTTCTGCTGGATCCCAGTGATAAAAGAAGTCCTCAGAATCCCACAATCTTTGGAGTACCTCTGCACTAAGATCTCTGGCTGATTCTCTGCTCAGTCATAATTTTACTTGAAAGCAAGAATTGTCCTAGCTCCTTTTTCATTATTCCAACAGTTTTAACATTAAACAGTTTTAACATTCAAAGCAGGGTCTAATTTTTAAAAATACTGGTAGTTAATATAATTGCGGTATTTTAGAATAAACAATTTGGATAAAGATAAAGGAATTCATCAGTTAATACTGTGTTTCAAAGAAAATTGGTGACTTGAATGTGTGTAATTTTTAGAACCTGCCTAAAACCAAATACCCCTGCACACAGATACAACCCACCCTATTTTAAATATTTTCCTGTTTTATTTTATAGAAATTATTTTGCTGAATTCGCAAATAGAATTTGATTTAAGAACTTTTTGTCCTGTGGTGTGTTTGGGGATTTTTGGTACCTTTTTTTTTTTTTTTTTTTTTTTTCCGGTTTTGGTGTTTTGTGGGTTTTTTGAGAACTGCATATTTCTGGAAAGCGTATTTCTGTGCAAAGCATGTGTAGACATGATCTGCAGTGAGGATTTTAGTCTCATTGAGTTTTTGTGCACAGAAAGATCCAACTCTCTGGCTTTTTACTATAAAGACTTGGAGAACAGGATGTTGATGCTGTAAAAGTTCCCTAACAATTAATCTTGTACTTTTTGTATGTTTTTATATACATGTGTATTTAATGAGCACAAGCTTGGTTGTATTTTTTATGATTCAGTTGCTAGGAAAATGTTGAAAGGCTATAGTTGGCACTGATCAAAGCAGAAGCAAAATGAGCATTATGTTGTGATTTAAAAGGGGCAGTATTTAAGATAAAGCTTTGGGTATCTTATTTGCAGTATTCCACAGTTCTGATTCTAGGCTTCCTGTAATTTTAGCAACTTTTGACACCAGATAGATTCTATTTACATCAGAATTGGCTTTTGTTTTGGATTTTGTGGAGGTGGGGATCCAGGGCCTCAAGAATTCCAGGCAAATGCTCTACCAATTGAGCTGCATCTCCAGCCGGAATTGAAGCTTGAGCAGAGGTTTACGGTGTTTGCAGTTCCAACTGGAAGTTTTAAAGTTCAAGTAGTGAAGTAGAATGGCTGTTTTTGGACAAGTAACTGGTACTAGTTACATTAGCTTACCACCTGACAGACGTCTTGGATCCTTCTGCTCCTTAACAAAATTTGAAATAGGTAAAACTTAGCGACTTCCTAGATAAGAGAAAACTTGACCTTTTCAAAGGCTGTGAATTTTTCTTCTTGGAGGGATTTCCCCCTCCCCGCTAGTTGCTTTGAGTGTCTAAGCCCACCAGTTCCAGATCAGATTTCATGAGTCTTGTTTCTCTCCATTTGAAGGAAGAGCAGGTCTGTATGGTGACCAGGAGTGAGGGAAAGTGAACAGCGTTTTCATTTGTGCAAATTATTTTCTATATTCAACTCAAAGCATTAATGTATAACCGGAAATTTTAAGGTACATGTTAATGTAAGCAACATGGTGGTGATTTTGAGGTCTTTCTCTAAACACAAATGGCACGTTTTAAATTTCAAGTCTTGAAGTGCCTAAAAATGATTTGATTCTCTTAACATTATTTTGAGCCATATGTTTTCTCCTTTAAATGTTTGTTGCAGAATCACTAGTCTTCCTTTGAACTCCCACATTTCTAAATGGCATGAGTACTATTGAAGACAGTAGAACCTGTTAACGTAAATACTTAAGAGATTTTAGTTGTGAAACTGTAACCTGGGGCTTTGCCCAGTCAGATCTAAGTATTTTCATTGTATGACTTGGTAAACACCATAATGCTGCTGTCTGTAAGTTCTTCACCAGTTGAATTCCCATGTTCATCATCACAGAGGCAGAAATACAAAACCATATTTGGGCTTTGTTTCTTTTCCCAAATATGGTTTTGTATTGTTTCTTTTCATTGATTTTTCTCTAATGATTTCCCAGCTTTTTTTTTGTCTCCTAGCTCTAATTATACAGACCCAGAATTATTCAAATGTTTTCTGTTTTCATGATTAAGTTTTATTAGTAAAAAATAACAACTTAAGTCTTTAATCCTTATTGGGTAAAAGGATGAGAACCATTTTTTTATTTGAATTACTTTTGTAAAGGAAAGCAACAGTCTGAATATTCAGGTGACTACTTTGGAATAGTTCTTCGGGTTTTAGTATTTTACCAGGTTATGTTTTCCCGTGAACCATGTTACTTTAAGTTTTGTGGTTAATTTGGTGGCTATATCCTGCCTTATTTAGAATTTTAGAAAATTGCCTTTTTGTGATAAGTGCCCAGTTTTTATTTCTAGTTTGAAGGTACGAGGACATACAGACTGCTGATAAGGAAAACAGCACCCCTTTGCCCCAGGTTTTGTGTTACCAACAAAACCATTCTCAGTACTGGTTTCATTGTAGGGCCCAACCAGAATTGGTCCTGCACCTACATGAGAGTTGCATATTTGAAAATAAGGTTTTGGGTGTGAGAAATTAACCACAGAAATGCTGAATGTATTAAGAACACTCTGCAGATTGTATTTCTAATGATTTTGTGTTTGCAAAAGTGTGTAGCACTTGTTCTCTAAACTTACAGGTGTAAGGGGGAAGGGTGAACCACATTTTAAAGTCACTAATGAGTGCAATTTTTTTTAAATTTTGGAATTGGGGTTCCCAGAAGGAAATTTCACCGCCCAAATCTCACATACTTCTTAGCCTTTTACAAGCCAACAGACTGACATAAAGATTGTCCGCAGTTCGTAAGATCTAGCACATATACAAAAATAAAACTTTATAAATTAACTTTGGGTTTTTCTTTTATTTATTAAAATAGGGTTTCTAAGATGGAAAGCCCATTCCCCCCCACATTGCCAGTGGGGGAATGAAGGTCTTCGAGTAAGTTGGCAAGTACTGTATACCTCTGTGGCCCTTGAATTTTTTTTTTAAGGGAAATGTTTATAATGGGTCATTTATAGATCCATTATGCATGTGTGTTTCTTTTTTAAACACCTTGCCCATTGGTTATTGACTTTTGGGGCCTAAGTTAGTGTGAAAACCCACTTTAGTATGTCATTTGAATTGCTAAAGTTCCTTTTCATTGTCTAAAATCAAAGTACGTTTGAGATCCTGCAGAACCTGTTGATGCTTCCCTAAAGTTGATTACTGCTAAAGAAAGGCATCCCAAATATTAGTCACGTTTGATTTTTCTGAAACAGCCCACCTCTGTAGCTCAAGCTGGTCTAGAATTCACTATGTAATCCAGGGTGACCTCAAACTGACCTTTTGTCACAGCCTCCAAAGTCAGGTTTGCAGCTGGTTTTCCGGTTCCATTCTGGGCAGTGTACACACCTGTCAACCAGTGTACACTGGTTAGGAGAAGGATCTGGAATTCAAGATCATCCTCGACGACTTTTAATAGAACTAAAAGGCCTTATCTCAAAACTGTAATAGAACTAAATCAAATACAAAATTCTTGTATTTTGGAAAACTCCCCGAAGTTGGACTATTTCTGTTAGGATGTTAACCAGTTGAGTATCTTTTAGCTAAATATTTGGGACAAGAAGTACTCAACATCAGGGAGATAGTTACTTGGCACATATTAGATGTCCTAATGTAAACACAAATCACATGACCTGCACAGTCTCAGAAATTTTCCATGTTGTAATGACCCCTTGCATTTGACTTAGAGGTAGTTTTGTTTTTTTCAGGGTAGGTTTTTTCTTGTGTACCCCTTGACTGTACTGGAACTCTGTAGAAAATTCTCAAATTCTACCTGCCTCTTGTTTCTAAAGTGCTGGGCAAAAAGGTGTGTGCCACCACCGCCCAGCTGGGCTTTGGTGTTTTTCTTCTTAGTGTGGACACAGAGCCAAGGGCCTGCTATATACTAGGCAAGTTAGCATTCTGACACCAAGCCATCTTCATTCCCCAAATTTAACCATTAGAAGACATTTGAGGTGCATTTTTAAAAATTGCTTAAGTGCGCAAAACTTAGAACCTAACTTTGCTCCTTAATGCTTCAGAACATAAGGATGCCTCACATCAGAGATGCCAGCTTGGAGGGGGCATACCATGTTCAGGATTGATTCATGAGAGCCAATCTGATTGCTAGCCATTCTTATTGCTGTGTTCTCATCTATTTCTGAGTTTGGGGCCAGCCTGGTCTACAAAGCAAGTCCAGGACAGCCAAGGCTACACAGAGAAACCCTGTCTCAAAACAAATGATCACTCACACTTTGTAATCCCAGCATTAGGGAGATAGAGATGGGCTGAGGCTTCTGGCTAGTCAGCCTAGCTTACAGGTCAGCCAGAGACCCTGTTGCAATAAAAAGATGGTAGACACCTGTGTTGTACATAACTTTTCTGTTCTTTTCTTTTTTCTTTTTTTTTTTTTTTTTTTTTTTTTTTTTTTTTTTTTTTTTTTTTTTTGTTGTTGTTGTCAAGACAGGGTTTCTTTATGTAGCCTTGGTTCTCCTGGACTTGACTTCTAGAGCAGGCAGGCCTCAAACTCTGCCTCCTGAGTGCTGAGATGATTAAATGTGTGCTCCACTGTGCCCAGCTGGTACACTTTTTTTTAATCCTGGCACTTGAGAAGCATCTGGATATCCCTATGGGGTTGAGGTCAGCCTGGTCTACAAAGGGAGTTCTGGGAGCACCAGAGCCACTTGATAGATCCCTTTTCAAACAACAAAACAATAATTCTTTATGATGCAGGGAGGGGTGCATATATGCCACTGTAAAGTCACAGAGGTCAGAGAACTATTTCTGCATCTTGTGGAAGTCAGTTGTCTCCTGTTACCCGGTGGGTCCTAGCAACTGGACTCGGGTCCTCAGACTTGGCAGCAAGTGCCTCTACACCCTGAGCCATCTTGCTGGCACCATTTGTTTTCGAAGTACAGAATGGGCTAAAAGAAAGTTGGGTGGGTGGGTGTGCTAATGAAGAATGCATACATGATGTCACTTGAACCTCCACTGAGTACTAAGGTCTGACAGGAAGTTAGTTTAAAAACAGCTAAAGATGGAAACTGGAGAGATGGCACAAGTTGAAAACATTGGCTCTTGCAAAGGACCCTAGTTTGCTTCCCAAGGCCTCTTGGTTGTTTTCAGGCTGTTCTCACCCAACAGAAGGAAACCAGTGAATTTTAATGGTTTTACAGAGCCACATAGACCCAGCTGGGGCAAGCATTGTTACTACAAGTCTAGAAGTGGCCTGAAGCTGAGTGAGCAGGGTTTTTTTGTTTTGTTTTGTTTTGTTTTTTTTGTTTTTTTTTCTGAGACAGGGTTTCTCTGTAGTCCTGGCTGACCTCAAACCAATGAGGAAGGAGGACAGCATGATGGGTTAGCCTGGAGGAGAAATCTCATAGGGCCTGGAAGAAGGACTTCAATAATGGCCTGAAAAGGCCCAGATGAATAATAAAAGCAAGTATTTTATAAGATTATGGATGGAAGATAGGATGGTTAAGGAGATGGCATTGGATGGGGGCTGGGAGATGGATGATGAGGTGATTCAAGACAGTGTAAGAATAACTGCCCGGCCCAAGGTAAATAAGGCAATTATAAAATCTAACAAGTGTCTGTGTCTTATTTGTGATATGGGTTAGATAATACCACCGTGACAATCAGACGGCTAATGATAAATAATGTAAAGACCAACACTCATAATTTTATTTATAAAAACATTTTATAAAAGCCGCAGGTTTGATTTAACTTCAATGACTGTTAGCAAGCGTGAGAGGTTATGAACTTTTCATAAGAATAGGACACAGTTGTGTAACCATAGTATTTCTTTTTGGTCAGGTAGGGGAGCAGAAAGCCTTGCAGTTATACAAGCAAAACAATGCAGGTTAGCAAAAGTTCCTGTTAAGTGCCACACATGGCTGAGGGTCAGGCTGGCCTCGGTTTTAGCCTGAGGTCTAATCAGGATTTTTTTTCTTCATAGAACCATCTGTAACTCCATGGGCACCAGGCACATAGGTGGTAAGCATACATACATGCAGGCAAAACATTCATAAGCATGATATAAATAAATATTTTTAAAACAAAAGTTACAAATGTTATCTCTAACAGTTAAACTTCACCTATTTGTCTAATGAAAAGCAAAAGCAAGCTTTGTTTTCGAACACCTTTAATCTCAGCATTCAGGAGGCAGAAGCAGACAGATCCCTGTGACTTCGAGGCCAGCCTGATCTGCACAGTGAGTTCGAGGGTTATCCAGAGAAACCCTGGCTCAAAAAAGAAAAAAAAAAAATACAAGGTTTATTTTATTTCTGCATTCTGAATTTGTTTACTGATGTATGAAATCTGACATTCTGTGACTAGATTAAAAGGAAAGCCGGTGACTTAGATTGGTATGCTCCATTGTTTAAAATGATACTGTGCCTCAAACTGTGCCATGCCTGCACTACCTAGGGCTGCATAGCAAGATCCACTCTGAAAACAAAATGTGTGTGTAAACATACATGAACAAATACATCAGTAGTTCCTTACATTCAGTGTGAAATTCCACTGAAGTCATAAATTTGATGTGAATGACAACTTTGAAAATAGGCCATTTTCTTTTCACTTTCACTCTTGATCTTGAACCTCATTTGAAAATAAGTACAACGGAGTCAAACTGCTGGACATTGGTGGGCCACACCTTTAACTCCTAGCACTGAGGAGCCAAAAGCAGGTGAATCTCTATGACATCAAGGCCAGCCTGACCTACATGGAGTTCCAGGACAGCTGAGGCTACAGAGAGAGACCCCGTCTCAAAATGAAGAAAGGTCCAATTTCCGGGGGTATAGATCAGTGGCAGAGCTCCTGTCTAACATGTGCAAGGTCCCAGATTCAATATCCATCATCACAAAAAAAGAAATTTTAATTAAACCAGGCATGGTGAGACACAAATTTTATCCCAGGGCTCAGTGGCAGAGGCAAGTGGATCTCTGAGTTCAAGGCCATTGTGGTCTATATACCAAGTTCCAGGACAGCCAGAGCTACATAGAGATATCCTGTCTCAGAAAGAGAGGAGGAGGAAGGAGAGAGAGAGAGAGGGATAGTTGTTGCCTTAGTATCCTGGAACTCATTCTGGAAACTCCATTAAGAGGACAGACGGGGAATAATCCTATTGCACAGAAATTCCTATTCATTCCTGAAATTCTTCCCACATCTCCCTACTCAGGAACTTCCTTTCATTAACTCTTGCCTAGAAAGTGCTATTCAAAATCTACCTTGATGTACATTGGCTCTTTAGTAAAACAGCTTCTCCATGACTTAGTCCTCTGTCACTTCTCTGAATTCTTTTCTCTGACAAGCTGAAACATTGGTGAATTCTATCAGGTTTATCCCTGAAACCTGGCCAGCCTTCACCCCTCTCAACAGACAAATACCAATGCCATGCATGACCTGATGCTGGTAATTGTCCTATCTGCTTCAAGTATTAATTGAGTTTTTTAAAGATTTATTTATGTATATGGGTGCTCTATGTGCATGTACACTTGCATGCCAGAAGAGGGCACCAGACCTCAGTATAGATGGTTGTGAGACACCATGGGGTTGCTAGGGATTGAACTTGGGACCTCAGGAAGAGCAGTTTTATTTATGGATGTGAGTAGTTTTGCCTTCATGCATGTACTGCCTGTGTAAGCCATCATGTAGGTGCTGGGAACCAAACCTGGGGTCCTCTGAGAGATGAGCAATTGCTCTTAACCATTGAGCCATCCCTCCAACACCTAAGTAAGATTTTTGTTAAAGAAATCAGTAGGCTTGAATCCTGTTTCCCTCTTCTTTAGTCCCATTTAATCTGAAACATCGGAAGCTACCAG